TCTGGAGCATCAAGGCCATGTTGTCTGGATGGACAATTTTTATAACTCCCCGGTATTGTCACGGGAGTTAAAATCTCTAGGCTTTGAGTGCGTAAGAACATTAAGAACAAATCGGCAGTTCGTTCCTGCAGAAATAACCCAACTGCAAAAATCTGACGTGGCGGTAGGTCAGGTGTGTGGTTGTACCTCGGGGGATGTAGACCTCATCGTATGGCGCGACAAAAACCGTGTCGCTTTTGTTTCGACATACCATGGGCTAGCAACCGTGAGGGATAATGACACCCACAAGCCCACCGTCGTGGCAGATTATAACATCTGCATGGGTGGAGTAGATCGGAAGGATCAGATGCTGTCTCTGTACCCCATTGAGCGTCGACGGAACAGGGTGTGGTACAAAAAACTGTTCAGAAGACTTTTGAATGTCAGTGTTCTGAACGCGTACGTTATGTACAAATCACATACTGACATCACCCACAGAAAGTTTCGTACAAATATAATAAAACAACTCCTGTCCATACACTCCCCATCTTTATCTACCAGTCCTGCACCGACGACGGCATCCCAGCACTTCCCTGGGCAATATCAAATTATTCCTGGGTCGAAGATCAATGAGCGCTACAGAAAACCCTGCGTCTCATGCAAAAAACGCACCAACTCGTATTGCACTGGGTGTAACGTCCCGTTGTGTGTTTTTACTTGCTTTGGGCAATACCACACTTCGTAATAAAAAAAGTTCTGTCGGGCTCTGGTCAGTGGTAGCGTATTTCTCCCAGTTGGATCCGACTCTGTAGACTGTAGAGAGAGAATAGAAGTATAATGATATTGATTTAGTATGGGAACCGAGTGTCGCCTCTCCGCACACAAATACAGATTAGATGAAATGATCATTTTGTTCACTACATGAAAAACTGCCACGCGATACGTTCGTGATAACATAAACAGAATCCCAAAAAGATACTAAGCTAAGAAATCACACGATTAAAAACAAACTCTAATTCAACGTGATAATAAATAATTTACTTTAACATGAATGTTGAACTGTCACGTGGCTGTATACGGGGATACCAGAAGGGAAAAAATATTTTAAGATTATGCACATTTTAAAAAATTGGGGACATCATTTTATGTGCGAACTATTAAGATTAGATTTTGCTGTAACCAAGTGAATATTAAAAAATAACGCTTTTCCCTATATAACTTCTTTTAAAAAACGCAGTACAAAAACTAAGAAAACTTAATGATAAACTCTATCATATGTCTGTGGAGTAATATAATTAAGCGAGGGAAAGTGTAAAAAAAAAACAAAAATTAAGAAACCAACAGAATTCTTGCATTAATTACATTAAGCCTAATTTGTAATTTTTTCTTACTGGTATCATTCCGATTGTGCATATTAGTGATGTGACATAATAGTAGTTGATGAAATAAGAGGTTTAAATTTTGTTATGAAACAGTAAAATGTAATTCAGTTCGACAATGTTCTACAGTGGTTTGATAGTAATTATTTAAAGCTTAATTCAAATAAAATGAAATACATAAAGTTTGCATTACCTAATGTGAGGCATATTAATACACTTATAAATGTAAATAGTGAAAAAGTTGAGTTGGTGAAATCGACAAAGTTCCTTGGTATTACACTAGATTCCCGACTGCAATGGGATCCTCATATTGATAATTTGTCAAGTAGACTGAGTTCTGCAGCATTTGCTGTTAAGCAAATTAGACTCTTGACAAATGTTGAAACGGCAGGATTGGTATATTTTAGTTATTTTCATAGTGTAATGACGTATAATCTATTGTTGTGGGGTTCTGCGGCTAGCATTCAAGATATTTTTATTCTACAAAAGAGAGCTGTCCATGCTATATATAATTTACGGTCTAGAGAATCTCTCAGAGAAATATTTAAAGAAATAAATATTTTGACTGTTGCCTCTCAATACATCAATGAAAATATTATCTACGCAAGAAAACATTACGATTCCTTCACAAAAAAAAGTAGTGTTCATAATCATAACACAAGAAATAAAAATAAACTTGCCGTTCCAAGCTTCAGACTTCAGAAAACCAGAGGATCAATGCATTTACATTGCTATGTTCAATAAAGTTCCACAAAATGTAGTTGACCTACCCATAAATAAATTTAAAATTCATGTAATGAACATACTTATGAGTAAAGGCTATTATAAAGTTGATGATTATTTTAAGAATCGCAATGCATGGAATGAATAGCCATCGCTTTGTTCTATAAAGACTAATTATATGTTCAACCTATGTCCTACAGACTTTGAAAGTTGTATTTATTATTGTGATAAGATATGAAATGACATGATTTATGTAAATATCATAGGGCTGGTAAGTTTCTTTCGCTTGTTCTTCTTGTCAGCTAAAAGACGTCCTGAACAAGTGGTAGGGGAAAAAAAATTTTTGGACGATTCAAAAGCGATTCATAATAACTAATATGATCATTACAATAATAAATTGATCATAGCCATGTTTGTTTTACTTTATTATTCTAAGTTTTATAACTGTAATAATAATAGTACCTACATTTTTAATTGCAACGACTGGACAATAAGGAATCGCTGGTCAAGTATGAGTTTGAAAGCCGTGACAAAAAAGTTTGAAGACAGACACAAAAGCGATAAGTACGTACAAACGTCAATCTACATATAAAGTCACATCCGTTTGAGACATGCGTTTATAAACTTATGTGCAAATATGAAGCAACAAAAAAATTGATAAAAGCTGTTCTGTGGGCGGTTCTTTAAAGTGGCTATCCTAACTCGATTTCTATAATAATGGTTTCCGATTATGAATCAGCATAATAAAGTAAATTAAATTGACGCCTATAAATTAATTTTGTAAATTAAATTCACACCACCAACAATATTACGTTAGTTGAAAACATGATTTTTTGTTTGTATAGATAATATGTTGTTTTGAAATTCATTTGATAGGTTTAGGTCTAAAACGGATAGGACAAAATAAATTATGTAAACAGGGCAATCCGTTGTAAAGTTATTAGGGAAACTGAAATATAAGTAATGCAAAATAAGTGAAATCCCGTTTCACCAGTTTCTAATAAGACCTATTAGGCCAAGACTCGTAGCTTTTCACGAAGTTTCGTTTGATTTATATATTGTTCATAAAACGTTGATACACTTCGTAACTTAGATATTTATAGCACATCAGTATTTTTTAATATCTATCTGCGTGTAAATAATTAACCGAATCTTCGTAAAAAAGTGCCTGAATAGTTCATTATTTCATCTGTTCAGTATCAATTCATCTTTTATTTTCAGGAGGCACAGCACTATTTTTTGCAAAAGTGCACAATATGATTTACATTGCTGTCTAGAAACGGGGTTAGAAACATTAATGTTGGTTTGAGCAAACAATGTATATTTTATTTGAAATTGTGTCAAATTATTACGTTTTTTATATTTGAGCACTAAAATTGTACTTACCAGTGAAAGGAAATGTTTGCATTAGTTAGATTGTATACTTTGTTTTGCTTTTTGCAAGTGATAATAGCACAAAACGGTATTATTTATAGAAAAAATCAGTAAAATCACCACTCGACGATTGACGAACGACTGACAAATATAAAACCGAGGAAAGGGCGTCATATGAGTAAAAGCGCATATGCCAGCGACGCTTGCCACGCCCACTTACTACTTCTATTCTCTCTCTATGAATAAAAATAACACCATACAGTTTTTGGAATGCTATGAAATGCATCCATGCTTATGGAACCCAAGAGAACAAGATTACAGGAACAATAATGTACGTTTAGCGGCTCTTAAATCTATTATTCAAGAAATGCGTTTGTCCATAACAGTTGAAGAGCTTAAATTGAAGATAAAAAATATACGAACCACGTATAATAGAGAGGCCAGTAAGGTAGCAAAGTCAAAGAAGAGTGGCGCGGGAAAGGATTATATATACAGACCTCAATTAATTTGGTTTTCTGTAGCTGACCGCTTTTTAAAGCCAGTGATAGAAGGAAGAAACAGTAAAGATAACATGGTAAGTCTTATTATTATTTATTAAATAGTTATTCTTGTTCGCATATTATAAATTATAATAGGTAAATCGTGAACAGAGCTATTTTTATAATATTACTTAAATAAACATACAATATTTACGCAATCATTCTATCTTGCCATGAAACTTTTCCTGGTCCGACAAAATAGTCAGCATATCTATCGCGCAGATCTTTTGCATTTCGTGAATAGTTGTTAGAAGATAGCGGTGTCATTAATTCGTCTACTCCTGCCGTAGGAATGCTTCTCCAACTTCCGTTTCTGATTGTCCCTGAACTGAAGTCTTCTCCGTCTACTAATTCGGGAGTATTCATGTATATGAGATTAGTCCGAAGCCAGTTATGCAGCGCACAGGTCGCTTTAATTATAGAATCAGTTTTATCCAATGAAACAGATATAGGTTTTCTGTATACTCTGAATCGTGAAGCCATTATGCCAAAGGCATTCTCTACGATTCGGCGTGCTCTTGAAAGTCTGTAATTAAAGATTTTTTGTTTGTGTTCCAAACCTTCATGTCTTGAATACGGTTTCATTAAATAGGTTGCCAAAGGGAAAGCATCATCACCAACGAAAACTGCCTTATTAGGTAGTTTTAAATTATTTCTTTCAAGGGCACTATAGAACTTTGTTTTTTTCCAAATATGCGAATCATTCATGCGTCCATTAGTTCCGAAATCTATATATATGAAACGGTAATGTGCATCCACTATAGCAAACAACACCACACTATAAGTGCCTTTGTAATTATAATAGTCTGATGCTCCGTGTGGTGGATTTTCGATTAATACGTATTTCCCGTCAATAGCCCCACAGCAAAAAGGAAATTGCCAGCGATCTAAAAAATCCTTTTGTATTTTCTTCCATTGATCTGTGGTGGATGGCACCTAAAAGAAATAAACTTATATTAGTGTATGGTTACAGGGAAAAGATTCAGCGGTGAACACAAACAGCGACATGTCTTCATATTTTGATGAATTGGAACAAGAAGATAATATTGCGCCCTTACAAAAGAAAAAAAAATTGTCTCCAAAGAAAAAGGCGGAGCGTGCTCTAATGTACGCACCTAAAATGGACCCACCTGTTTTACAAGCAGTTAATAGATTAGAAACTTTGGCTCAAACTATCCGTCAAGATGAATTTGATACATTCGGAGTACATGTGGCAAGTCAATTACGTAGTTTGCCATTAAGAAATGCTATTGTTTGTCAAAATTTCATCAATAATTATTTGTCACAAGAAAGACTGAAAACCTTAAATACACAACATTTTCCAATTGCTAGACCTACGAGTTCACTCTCAGAGTATACACGCTATACTTCGACTCCAGAAGCCGAAGCTACTACTTCCCGAAACCAAGCTTTTCAAAACCAGCGTGAAACTTCGACTCCCGAAGCTTCCACTTCTAGAAGGCACCTCGATTATGAAGAAGACTATTTTGCCAGCTGTTTACTTACACAAGAAAATACTGGGCAACAATACGGAGTGAACGACGATATTCTATCTCAAGCTGTTAGGTCATGCTTAGATGAAAACACAATGGAAAATTTATAAATAAATCGTTTATAATTAATTACTAGTTTCACTTACCATAATGAACTCCTGTAAAACATTGTATATAGCATCCAAAACATCCTTCAAAAACAAGGAAATTGTGCATTCTGGAACTCTAAATGACTCTGCAAGACTTGAATAGCTATCACCGGTGGCCAAGAACTTCAGAGTTATTTCTAATTTAATTTTCGGAGAAAGTGCTACTCGCATATTGGTATCGCATTTTTGTATAAGCGGAGTAACCTTATGTAGTAAAGTATTAAACTGATCAGTAGTCATTCTTAATCGTTTTTTAAAATAATCAGGATCTTCTAAACTCCACTCAACCAATAAAGTATCCGAAGCACCCAAGTCCTTACGTCGAGAAATCCATCCACGTACCCAAACATTACGTTTTCTTCTTTCCTTTTGTTTTTTCTTCACTCTTTGTTCTTTAAGCAATTGTTGAATAATTGAATAATTAATTATTTCAATTCCGGCACAAATGGCTATTCTGCTCAACATTTTCGATGGAAATGACAGAGCCGCATGCGATTTTAGTAACCAGTGTAAATGGGCTAGCGATGCGGCTTGGTGAGGCAATTAGTGAAGCGACTCGCCGCACGGCGAAAATCGGTTGAATAAATACTTTGAATTTGATCCTGGTGATGCAGCATCAGGTCAAGGTCACCACTCACTTCCAATATCATTAAAATAAAGTAATACCAAATTTTAAATCGATCGGACGTGTAGAAGTTGTTAGACCTGATCCGACTATGAGCTGATGACCTTCAAACGGTTGAACCGATTTTATACTATCATATAAAAAAAATAAGGAAAAATATTTGTCCACGAAGCACAAATTCCCATTTGATCAATTTACCGTATGTCAAAACAACAACAAAATTTTGAAGAAAATGTCGTATCCATACTTGTCTAACATCTATGTCACCCAAAATTATTGAATTTTCACTACTTTTGAAAACATATTTTTTGAAATATTTCTATGAAACAACTTGTTTTTTTTTTTAATTTTATTAGATTTTTATATCTATGTCATTGCTAAAAAATAATACTTTTTTCCTTTGTAATTGAAAATTCCTCCAAAATTGTAAGTTTTCAAATGGTACTAATACTTGTGTTAATTTGTAGCACCATTTTTGTTAAACTGTTTCTCAAAATCTTATTGATGTATCTTTATGGTGTTCCTTTCTATTTACAGCTAATATACTCAAATTATTGAAAAATACAAATTTTTTAACCCTAGCACTAATAGTTTCTTCAGGTAATGAAGAAATATGACACCCACTTATAGTTTCTCTTTAATTGATGCATTTTTTATGCCTATTCTTTAAACATGGCGTGGCGTGGCGCAACGCGCCAGAAGCTTATCGGATTCATACATTTAGTATGGGCAGAAACAAATTTGCATGTCGTGTCGTGGCGCAACGCGCTCTGGCGTGGCGCCGACTGCTTGCTACCGATTGCGCCACGGCGGTGGTGGGGGTGATGGCGCGACACGACACGACAAGACCAATGTGTTTCTATACTGGCGCGTGGCCGTGGCGCGTAGCTCGTGGCGCGCACATCCAGTAAACGTTTTAAAATTAATTTGAAAAAATTTGAAGTAAAATGGCTGACGATCTAATCGAGCTTGTTCGTCAACGGAAAGTGATTTACGACTCAAAGTGTAAATATTACAAGGATCATTCAATAAGAAATGCTGCTTGGGAAGAAATTGGTGAAATTTTGAAAGAACCAGGTAAAGAAATAAAATTATATTTTACTTAAATAGGTTTTTATTTTAAAAGGATACATGAATATGATACATTATACAAAGTTTTTACAAAAGTTTAATTATTAAGCTGAGTTATTAAGTCTACCCCGGCGAATCATTTCCATTTGCCATGGTACGCTCCCTTCTTGACTAATAAAATACTCTTTATATTTTTCTCTTACATAAACAGCGTTTTTTGATGGGTTTCTCGGCAAACCTTCAATATTAAGAAGACAATCGCTGTTGCTGCTATGGTCAGTAGAATCCATCACATTTTCTTTAGGATCATCCATGGTTTGTGATGTATGTGTTCTTAAAAAATTATGAAGGCAACAAGATGCTAGCACAATCTTGTCTACCATGTCAGGCTGGACTTGCATAGGTCCATGAAATACTCGAAACCGAGCCCGTAAAATACCAAACGCATTTTCTACACACCGGCGTGCACGTGATAAGCGATAATTAAATATTTTATTTGCATCATTGTTAACTAGCTTGTCTTTGGGATAAGGTTTTAATAAATACGTTTTCAACGGGAACGCTGCATCATCAGCAATAATTGTGTATGGCATAGGTTGAGAGCTTTGACTCAGTGGTTCATCCTGTGGTACATTGAATGCTTTTTGCTCGAATAATCTTCCCATCCATGATTTGTCGTAAATGCCACCGTCACTGTTTCGACCATACGCGCCTACGTCAATCATGATAAATTTGTATTGAGCGTCCACTAGTGCAAGTAAAACTATGGAATGTACTTGTTTATAATTATAGAAAGTAGAACCTGCGTTTATTGGACAAATTATGTTAACGTGTTTGCCATCTAATGCTCCAATACAATTCGGAAAATGCCACAATTGTTTGAAGTTATTTGCAATATCTTTCCACATTTGTTCTGAAGGTGTAGGCATTACAATAGGTGCCATATTTTTCCAAATGGCTTCACACACTTCTTGTACTATAACTCTTACAGTTGCGAATCCCATGCGATAGTTGAACGCCAATGATCGAAAAGTGTTGCCAGTAGCTAAAAATCTGAAAATAAATAAACAATGACTATTACTTGTTACAGTAAACAAATGCAAGGATGACTGGGCAAAATTAAGAAATGCTTTCGCCAGTGCTTTGAAGAGACGAAGGAACAAGAAAAGTGGACAGGCTGCGGAAACGTTTGTGCCCTGGAAATATGAAGAGAGCATGGGCTTTCTTCTTCCTTACATCGAATGTAGGAACACAAAAACAAATGTGATGCCTTCACTGGAATCACCACCTTCAGAGGACTCTATCGACGATAGTGTTCCAGCAAGTCCAAGTACTTCTCGAAGTCAATCTCAATCCAGTTCAACGCGTGAAAAAACTAATTCCGAACCCAAACTACAACAGTTGTACGATTTAATGAAATCTTCGCAAGATTTAAGACGCCAGAAACATAATTTCAAACAAGACATGGACGAAACTGATTTATTTTTCCTTAGTATGAGCAAAGAAGTTAAAACGTTGTCAAAACTAGAACAGACAAAAATAAAGTTAGACTTGCGCACCGCTATTTCCCAAGCAGTAATACGGCAATTGGAACACAGAGACAAGATTTTAAAAACGCCCATAACAATTAACACTCCAAGATTCGTTCAATCAAATCCACAACATCAGTCGTCAACATACATCTTAACTACTGCAGACGTTCAATCACCAACATACAATCAGTCAACAACACAAGCTAATTCACCCACATATATCCAGTCATCATCACTTTTAACAAAATCTCCACCACAAAACCATGCTGTTTCAAATTCTGAAGACTCTCAACGATTCATCCAGTCAACTCCACAGCGTCAGTTGTCATCATACATCCAAACTCCTACAGACGATCAAGCACCAACATACATCCAGTCACCTATACACACTCACTCACCAAAATATCTCCAGTCATCATCATTTCCATCCAGATTAAACACACAACCTGTTGTTTCAGATGACTTGAAGGCATACTATGATAATTTTGATGATTATGAAAATGATGATTAAACTAATATTTTAATAAAAAAAAACGATTGTTAAATTTAAAAATAAGACAGCGGAGTGCGATTACTTAACAGTTTTATGATGAATGATAGATTGTAACAGCATTGGTCAATTATATATTTTTAATTAAAGAAATAAAACTTACCTTAAACATAACGCAAGTCTTTCTTTAGTACCTATGGGTTCGCGAAATCTAGTATGTACTTTTTTTATGTCTCCTTCAATCAGCGAATGGACTTCCTCATACTGTGCTTTGTTCATTCTAAAGTACTGATAAAATTTCTCTTCGTCACTCTCTAATTCTTTAACAAGACGATGAAATTCTCCTGCAGCTTGTCTCCCTCTGTTTATAGGGTGAACCCACCACCTTCTCATCTTTTTTTTGCCCTCAAGAAGTTTCAGTGCTATGAGAAATTGAAGGTCTTCGTCAAAATCACTGTCTGAATCAGAGGAATACATTTTGTATGCTTGTACGCACGCTGCCAAGGTCTGTTAAGTACTGTTCAGGAATAATCGCCAGAGACCGCCACGACACGACACGCTAGTGTGCACACCCACCGCCATGGCGCGCCACGACAGTTAGCGCCACGCCACGTTAATGTCTTGCCGCCCGATTTACTTTGCTTTGACAATTGCCGACGGCCGGCACGTGTTCGCCAGTCTCGCACAGATTTTGGTTTCGGTGAGACGTCATGTCGTGATTCTGGATTCTGTACTTGTTTATGTTTCCCAATAACTTTCGTGATCGTGTGACTTCGTGCTGCTCATGAATATATTTTGTACTGAGGGTAACTAAAGGAGAGAGTGAAGTTGGTAACTATTATTTAAAATGAGTGCGCCAAAAAAAAGTAAAACTTATCATTTCAACGATGAATGGGAAGAAGAATTCTTATTTACCATGGTGAAAGACAAGTGTATTTGTCTTGTTTGTCGAGCTTCAGTAGCTTTGCCTAAACGCGGCAACTTAGAAAGGCATCATAAATCCTTGCATAAAATTTACGAAAGTGATTTTCCTCTCAAAAGTGAAATAAGACGTCAGAAAGTTCAAGATCTGAAAGGTAGCTTGAAGGCCGAGCAAGCTATGTTTACCAGGCCAAGTAAACAATCGGAAGCTGCGACAGTTGCGTCCTTCAAAATATCTCATATATTGGCAAAACACAAAAAACCCTTTGAAGATGGCGAGGTATTGAAAAAAGCATTTCTCGAAGGCGCAAATTCATTATTTGGCGACTTTAAAAATAAAACTGAAATCATGTCTGCCATAAAAGAGCTCCAGTTGTCTCGTCGGACTGTAACTAGACGTGTTGAGCTCATGAACAGTGATATCGAGCAAAAGCTAAAAAGTGATATTATGAGATGTTCATTCTTTTCTTTACAATTTGATGAATCCACTGATATGATTGACACTGCCCAGCTATGTGTGTTTATTCGGATGGCATTTCCAGATACGTCGTCTAAAGAAGAGTTCTTAACAATCATACCTTTGAAAGAAACCACTCGCGGTTCAGACATATACGATGCTTTTCTAAGTTTTGCGAAAAACTACGAGCTGCCTCTGTATAAACTAGTGTGCATAACAACAGATGGAGCACCATCAATGACTGGAAAGACTAATGGATTTGTGGCACTGTGCAGAGCTAATGAAGACTTCCCATCTTTTTTTTCTTTTCATTGCGTCATTCATCAGCAGGTGTTGTGTTCGAAAGTACTGAACATGGCAGATGTGATGAGCATCACTATGAAG